CCGCCAGCCCAGGAGGTCCATCTCAGGGAAGTATGAGCTTACGCCGAAAATAGTGCGTCACCTGATCTGTCCACCATACATGCTGAACACCTCCGAGTCGAATCGCTGGCCTTACGATTCGAGCCCGCCAATCTAGACGAGCGCGGCTTGCTCACGGCCGGTTTTCTCTCTGCCGCCCCGCTCCCTGTCAGCAAGCCAACCGGAGTACAGGAAAGATACAAGTGAGACGCACCAAAGCAAGTGCCTGCCCCAGTTAGATGCGCTCCGGCTTGCCTGGAACGACGGCCCCGACTTGAGCACGCAGCATGCGTTCGACTTTGGAGCTCCCTGACGGCGTCCCATGACTGTCGTCCCACGTCAGGACGTGTCAGCTGAGAGGCCCCATGTTTCCGCCCGGACACAACGGAGGCAGGGAAGTCGCGGCCAAGGTTCAATATGCCAAATTCAGGTGGACGAGCTTCCGCGCCTGTTACGCTCTGCGCGCTTCGCGCACGTGGCAGCGCCTGGGGTTACCCAAGGCAAGGCCCGAGACATGCCGACTGGTTCGACTTAGTACATAGCTGAGCTCACCCGCTGGCGAGGTCGCACCCTTACCATGTAAGCTATGCAGGCTGCCTACTGTGCCGTCACCTATGGTTCGCATCGCCAGTGCTAGTCCGTCCGACTTCCACATATCGCCGATATCTGCTGTGCTCGGCAAATGCACGGTCACCGCCGAGGGAGAAACACACCACGCGCATTCGTCATTGGTATTTCACTGCCATCTCTGCGACGCCAGGCAGATGCTGCAATACCTCGAACTCGATGGATCGTCGGCCTCCGTCTCGAAATTCGCGCATCTTCGGCCAGGTCAGTTCTGTCCAGATATCTCGCTCTCAGTGTGTGCTAATTGAGTACTCGAACGTTCTGCGAACCAAAGCATCGCCGTACCTTTCGCCAGGTGAAGATACAGGCTGCAAGTCGCCAGATCGTCGATGCAGCTCTCCCCGAGAGGACCACCGGGTGCTGCAGCGCACAAGCAGGCGCCATATTGCTGACACGGCTCTCGCCAAGAGACGTCAGCGCCGCCACCACAAGGTTTCACCACACACCAAAGCGCCACACCGCGGCATCGTCGGCTGCGTCGGCTGCGCTTTGCGCCACGACGGACGGATGTGCGAACATGGAAATAGCTAGGCTATCAACCTTCCAAACTGGGCTCTTAACAGACTAGCATTGCCAGCTGTCATGCTTGGCTCGCAGCTTCCCTGACCCTGTATCAGGATCTGCGTATATGGAGCCCCGACGCTCGGTCACGTTCGCTTTCCGTTCTTGCCCGCCCCCCACTTTCCACTTCCTGGGAGCACGCGTCGCGCTCATCACGACGGCGAGGTCCCCGGCGCGACGACGACCACGAAAGCGACAGCTGCAGCGCCAATCACAACTGCGACGACGATGCCAGTCTCGACATCCGATGCCGCGAGTCCTTTCTCGGCCGGTAGCGTGACCGCTTGCGAGTCCCCAGTCAGCTCCTCCACGTCTGACGCGTTTTCACCCCAAGGTGCGAGCTTGGCCGCGTCCCCGTCGTGTATCCCCCCTGCGCACCCGGCCAGGACACTGGTGTTGTGTTTCGATGGTACAGGTGACCAGTTCGATGCGGACGTACGTTTTGTGTTGTCCTGTTAGTTTTTGGCGAAAGCTGACGCGCCGTCTAGAACTCGAACGTGGTGCAATTCTTCTCAATGTTGAAGAAGGACGACCGCAGGCAGCAGATGGTGTACTACCAGGTGCGGTGCTCATCCCTCATGCGTTCTGCGTGTGGCTAAAACGAGAGCTTGCACAGGCAGGAATCGGCACTTACGTGACGCCTCAAATCGCAACACCCTTCGCACCCAAGATCTCCAAGACCCTCGACGAGGTGATTGCCTGGAACCTCGACGCACATGTGATGGGTAAGTAAGTCTTGGCTTGAGGCTGGTGGTGTCACAATTAACATTCGCCTGTTATTTCAGGAGGATACAAGTTTCTAATGCAGAACTGTAAGCTCTTGGTCATTGCACTCTTGCTTTGGAATACTGCTGAGCGCTTTCGCAGACGAAGCAGGCGACAAGATCTGCATATTCGGCTTCTCTCGCGGCGCATACACCGCCCGCGCGCTCTCCGGCATGATCCACAAGGTCGACCTGCTCCCGGCCTGCAACCACCAGCAGGTGCCATTCGCGTACAAGATGTACACGCGCACAACGCCTCTCGGCTGGGCGCAGAGCACGCTGTTCAAGAAGGCCTTCTCGATGGACATCGACATCGAATTCATCGGCGTTCGGGACACGGTGTGCTCGGTCGGGCTTTTCTCGCGCCGCCTTCCGTTCACGACGAGCAACACGTCCGTGAAGACGTTCAGGCACGCTGTTAGCCTCGATGAGCGGCGCGCAAAGTTCAAGGCGAACTTGTTCAACTGGCCACGGGAGGAAGAGAGGCGGCTCGGTACTCAGCCGGGAGATATGCCCAAAGCCGGCCAGAATGAGGACCAAGTCCATCTGAGCGGTTCAACGAGTCCAAGCCTGCGGCTGCCGGCGACAAGAAGGACGACAAGACGAAGAAAAGCTCGGTCTTGTCCAAATTCTCGAACATGTCGAGGCACAACTCCGTGGACGACAGGCAGCGCCAGAGGGAGATGGAACGTCAGTTCTCCGAGCAGGAGCGGTACGCGCTCGAGACGGACGTCCTGGAGGTCTGGTTCGCGGGATGCCACTGCGGTGCGTTATCGAAACTTTTCGTCCCACAGGGCTCATGCTCATGCACTTCCACAGACGTCGGCGGTGGGTCCGTGTCGAACGACACGCGTCACAGCCTGGCGCGCATCCCGCTGCGGTGGATGGTGCGCCAGTGCTTCATGGCAAACACCGGCATCCGGATCCACGCCGAGCTCGTGCGCGGCATCGGCCTCGACCCCGCGGTCCTCTACCCTATCGTGCACGACCGCCCCGAACCTCTGTACTACACACCATCTGCGCCCGTGCCCGACGGCACCACCGCGGGCGCGCGCCTAAGTGAAGAGGAGGAGGACCTCGCGGACGCACTGAGCCCAGTATACGACCAGCTTGCGCTCGCGCGCAGCTGGTGGGTGCTCGAGCTGCTGCCGATGCGGCGCCGTGTGCAGCGCACCGCGGACGGCCGGTGGGAGACGGAGGTGTACGCGAACATGGGCCGTGCGCGCGTCTCCCGAAGCAGGAGACGCATCCAGTGTACGTGCACCGAAGCGTGAAGATGCGGATGGAGGCGGAGCGGGCGGCGGGGCGGGTGTATGAGCCGATGGCGAAGTTTGATGTCGAGCCGACGTGGGTGGACTAGAGCCGTCGCGGGTGCGCGTAGGAGTGTGAGGTTGGGTTTTCCTCGCGACGGATTTTGGGACGACTTTGTCGCATTTCGCTGTTGTCGCCGCTCAAGAGTTTCTCTTCTACTGTATATTTTGGGGATAACGGACTTATTTGTAGCATTACAGCCATGTACGGCATCTGTTCCTGACATACTCCTTACGAGCTATAACATTGTGCTGCCTCGCACATGTGCCCGAGGTATAATTGCTCGCTAGCAAGCGGATATAGATGCTGCCCACCGTCGTCCGCATTGCGCAAGACCCACTAAAGTTGGCGAAGTGCTTCGGAGAAGTCTCGACGGTGTTTTATCACCACTGGCCGCTTCTATAACTCAGTAGCTCAAGACATTACTCGGATACGTCTGGGTCATGTCTGGGTCATCTCCGGAAGTCCATAGTGTTAATATTGATTCTACTAGGCCATACAAGCGCAAAGGTTGCATGAGAACGAAGGCAAGACAGCATATGAGCGACCGTGAAATTACGATAACGATGATCAAACAAGAGTAGACAAGAACGCTGGACATATGATCAGCAAACATTGGTCAATCCGTTTCGCTCTTGGAGTCGGAATCGTGTGCCGCGAGTAAGCGATACATTTCTTCTCTCTCTTCTCTCTCCTTGACTCGTCGTCTCTGCGCAAAAAGACTGCTCAGCTAGGTATCAAGTAATTCTGCTTTCCAGTACGTACCACTTTCTCTCGCCCTGCCTCCACATCTGCCTCGGTCAGACCAAACAGCGCAGGCTGCAAGTATCTCCCGCCTGGCAGGTCACGGTCATGTTGAAGCGTGACAGGCGGATGCATGTGGTTATTCATGGCCTCCGCGACCTTGTCGGAGAGCGCGCGGAAGTCCTCTTCTGAATGCTCCTCCCCGCAGAGGACTTGGAACTGTTGTAATTGTGGAAACGCGGGCAGAAGGGAAGCGAGTGCTGACCAATCGCGAGAGTGGAAATACCGGTGCGATTTCGAAGTTATCTCGTCTGAGGTAGCGAGAATGATTTGGCAGACAGACCAGGCCTCATTGGCGCCGGCGGCAGGTGTAGACTTGACAACCCAGACTGAGATGTATGCAGGAAACAGGGAACCAACAAATCTGTAAGTATCTTGGACCATCCGGTGAGTACAGCAATCTGGTAGAGGTATCAGTCGAGCTCACCTGCCATCGCCTCCTTGACATTAAAACCTGCTATTAGGAGATCACTGTTGTCCTTCAAGAATGTCTGGATGAGGTCGATGATGGCCCATGTCTCTGCAGGGACTGCTGGCCCTGCCGTCCGACGTCTGGTGAACGAGTGTCGTGTGCTCGTGGCTGCCAGGATCCATGCGCCCACTGCCATGTTG